GTCATTTTTTGCAGTGCATACAATCCTGTGCAAAAATCAAAGACTACCTTTCATTTCTTTCATTTCCAGTTAGAATGGTTATTATGTTATTAATTGTAATAAAATTCTGAGAGAAAATGGGACTTGAACAATCATGCAAGACCTGGTAGACCTCCAAAACTGTCCCCATCAGAAAAGTAGTACTTTTATCTTAGAGAGAGAGGAGAAAATTAAGTTGCATTCTTGCTTCAGATCTGAAAAGACCCACATCCATCCACTGTGAGAAGACAACTCAACTCTATGGGTCTGAATCATTTTTTAAAAAGAAAGGAAGGTGTAATGAAGGCCAAGTGTGGACACACTACATACTGAAAATCTGTTATTCTGTTTAGGTGCTGAGGCTCTCATTAAATATATGTTTTCTGCTTTGTATCTGTGTAACGTTGCGTCAGCAGGAGATGAAATAGGATGCAAGTGCGAGTTGGTTTCATAGAAGTCCATGGCAGAAACAGGAGCAGTTAGCAGGATAAAAAAGAACATGAGAAAACAAACAAGAAACAGAACTAAGAGGCAAAACTAAAGCAACAACAGAACAACAAAGCTACAACTGCTCTATGAACAATCCAGAACAAACATGCACACACATTCACAATACCAAGCAAAGACAAGACAGAAACAAGAGGTTTATATACACCGAGAGCACCAACAAGAAACACCTGGGAATAATTACTGGGCAGGATCTAAACACAGGCACAGGTGAGGGGTGTGACCAAAGGGAGGAGCTGGAAACCAAAACAAAAGCACATGGAAAATGTAAACAAAAGCACATGACATGAGGAAAACAAGAAAACAAAGAAATACATGGAAAAGCAAAACAGGACATTATAATCTGAAAAGTTAATAACTTACAATTAACGGTCATTTTTCCTGGAAATGAAATGAATGAAGGATGAGCTTTTGCTCTGTACTGTAAGTTTCAGAGGTTATGGAGAAGGATTAGCAATTAGCTCGGTGAACCCAAAAAACCTGGACCAGAAGTCTTGATCTAATCCAACTTCCTTCCTCCATCATTTGTCAATGCACTTTATTTTACACTCTTTCTCCTCTCAAAGCTCTGAAAAGAGTTATGAAATTTAAGAAATAAATGCCTGGAGGAAAAATGACGTGCTAATAGAGTCTGAGGATTTCACTCGATAAGATTACTTTGAAATGAGTAAAAATATCTAGAAATGGGCCGAATCATCCATGCGATCCGTGCCGCACCGGGTAAAACGATGCACCATGTGGGGAGAGATATTAGATTTGTTGCCTATAATTTCAGCAATTTCCACTTCTTAACGTATCACTTTAGACACAAAAGTAGAGAAGAGGTACTGATGCGTGGAAAGAGGTGCATTGTGGGAAGAGCAGTGGGGTTAATGCATAACCTCCTGTCCCAAAGCACCAGAGCCACTATGAGAAGGCATAGGGTCATTAGGCAGCCTTCAAAAAAGAAGAAATGGAGGCAGAAAAGTTGACATTAATGTTATAATTAGGACAAAAATCTAATTTAATTCAGTTTTCTCTTATCCCAAATGTAGTCAATTAAGCACAACATGTTCAGTGCTTCTGCGTGCAAGCTAAAAGGCTAATGTAGCTAACAAGCTGCATTATGAAGCTTGTACCAGTTCCACAAAATGCATTCCTAAATCATCACAGACTGGCTTCAAACTGTGTGGAGTTGTTAAGTAATCTCAAATAGACTTGCTTATGTAGTTTCTGAGTTTTGAAAAAGCAGAAATTAAAACTACACCAGAAATGGCTGTCTCTGCCAAACTTCGGCTAACGGGAAGAGTAGGGTACTCGTACGGTCTGTTGTTTCTGTTGTGGTGGTCTTTAGAGTAAAATTTTTGATTTTAAAGACTGGGACAACCTCCTTAGGTTGGAGGTGCTTTTGAAAAACTTTGGTGAGGGTACTTGGGGGTTGAGCTTTAAGGGCTATTTGATGTACTCGTGTAATGCATGTTGGGTACTGTAGTGAAAGAACACTGAATGAAAACAATGCTCTGCTACAGAAAACTACGGAGTCCCACTGGTGACATCCTGTGTACATATAATAATGTGTGGCCTCAACTCAGTAAGGCATGGGAACAAGATAATTAAGTTATGGCCACGACTTAGTAAAGTGTGGGAATGAGATCCTAATACATGACCACAACTTAGTAAGGCATGGGAATGAGATTCTAAAATGTGGCCACGATTTAGTAAGGCATGATTTCATTCCCACACCTTACTAAGTTGTGGCCATGACTTAATCATCTCATTCCCACTCTTTACTAAGTCATGGCCACGCATTATTTTAATTTGTATGGAATGTGTCACCAGCAGGGCTCCACAGACTACAGTATAACACAACAAATATGAAGAGCCAGATTTGGCTTTTAACAAAACATTATACAACCTAAACGATGTGTTGAAATGAAGGGTTTAATTGCAAAACACATTAGAGACCACTTTCAAAAAGGTCAGCTGTGAGCCAGTCAGGTCACTGCTGATTGGGTAGTTTTGCTAAGCTTTTCTGCACAGTTGGATGTATTCCTTTACCACATTATCAGGACATTTCTATTTCCACATTGTATTCGGCTAGAAGTCATGGGGTCAGTTATGATCTGAGAATGTCTGGGGCAACCGTAGATCTTTTTGGGCTATATGTTGGTGGGAACATAGACTTATTAAGGTAAGAACAAGCTGAGAATGAAATTTTCAAACCAATCCGCCACCTCAATAACATTCTATGTGGTAAAATTAAACATGATATCTCACAACAGAAAGAAACATTCAGTAGACTGTGCATTATCTTTAGAAGATAGAAGAAGCTGATGACGGGTTACCAGCATGTATGTGGCCTCTGTCCTTTACAGTTGTGATGATACAGCCAGAGTAAAAGTGATTTGTATCACTCTTATTTGTATTTGAGCTAAACGATGTGCCGCCACGCCCACTAAAAAGCATGCAAAAAGAAAGCCCATTATCGATAGCACATAACAATAACAGTAAAATGTATACATACATGTACTCACTACTGAGCAACAGTATGAACTTCACCTGCAGAAGTTCCAACAAGGCACTGATAGAACAATCTCTCTGCAATCACCAGAAGCTACTTTCTTTGCTGTGATCTGGATATGCAGCTGAAATCCCCTATTGTATTTAAAAAATGACGTTGTCCCTTATTATGGACAGTAATGGACATATTACCAGGACTGTCGATTTTTACATTTTAAACATCAAGTTGTAAACAACTGGCCAGGCTTGATAAACTACACCTTTACCATATGCTGTTGGCAAACAAGCCAAATCTCTTTCATCCTGAGTCAAGTGTGAGCTAAAAATAGCATTTCGCTAGCTATCTTATTTTGCTTGTGTTATGATTGTACAATATAAATTAAAAGTAGTGTTGTAGTACTCGAGCCCATACACTAGCTGCGTCTGCCTCGTCTCGGTCTTGACCTCATTTGGACTAGTCTTGTCTCTGTGTCGGGGTAAGCTGGACTTGGAAGCTGTTGTTAAGACCAGCCAAATGTAATGCCTCCATCTAACTGGACACTTAATTATTATTGAATATCATCAACACCAGAATAAACAGAATAAAACAGTCTTTCTCTGCATCTGGGGTTCCCACAGCTTTTGCAACTCATGGTTCACATAAATGACCACCAGAGGTTCCACACATTCAAGCAAGAGGAAAGCTGCGAACCAAGCCTTGGCCTAATTCTATAGGTTTAGGTATCTACTTGCTGTGTATAATTAATAATGTTTTGGGCTATACGTGATTTAATAATATATTTTTATTTTTATATTTTGAAAGAATAAAATGATCTGGTCTCGGTTTTGTCTCAGTCTCGACCACTCCTAGACTTGGTCTTGACTTGGACTTGATGTGTCCCCATCTCAATCTTGAATGCTCGGCTCTAGTGTTCTTGATTACAACACTAATTAAAAGATCACATAATTGATTCATAATTTGTGTTTTAGAGGGACAAACCCATGTTTGCAGAACATTTCACCATAATCCAGCATCCAGTTCTCATTGCAAGATCACATCTGGCCCTGCAAGACTAGTTACAGCCATGCACTGTATGACATACTGTCATTTAGAAAAACAGACATTGCTAAAAACCTTAGTCACAACCATCCTGAAGCCTAAATTTTGTCCAAACATTTTATCCAAATCTCTTACTTTCAGAAAAAAAACTGAAGGAAATATGCTTGAGTTTGAGATCTTGGTCCATTTAACTGGTTCATTTTGCCTGTTAGTTGAGCTGCGACACAAGTATTCATTGATGGTCCATTTCGCCTTTATGATTTTGCCATTAATTTAGCTGAATTATTATAAAGGTTATTAGAGCTTCCCTTATCCCTTCGAGCCGCAATTACAGCCGCAATTACGACTTTTCCAGTGAAATGAAATCATCGTATTTCTGGTCACACCGGCTCCGTGTTGTGCCCACATTCATCACCGTCGCCGTTGTGAATGTGATTTTTCTGTAGCACCTTTCTTGTAAAGTCTGTTGTGCCTGAGCATAATCTGATTGATTGCCTATTAATAGCTGTGAAGCCGAGCATGATTTACTCATTCGTATGAGAAGAGACAGCTGCCATTTTTCATGCTTAATGGTGTCCATTAAGGCTTTAAGTCTTCTCCAGTGGCGCCAGTCCCCATGGAGGAAAAACATCCATTACTCTGCTCTTTCCAATCAGCCTCTTTCAGGACTCGATTTCCAACTGTGTTGATTTGATGGTAGTGTTCCCTGGCAATGACATGGTGCATTGTCTCGGATCATAAACTAGCATTTTGACAATTAAACGCACACATGCCCTTCTGTGTATATAAAGCTCTATTTTATTCCTCGAATTACCTCCGTCTTACGTAAGGCGCAGTATTTTAGGAACTGCTGCTACGTTCTGAAGGCAGCGATGTTCTGCTTTTGCTCATCTCGATGTTCTTTCTGTTTTTCTGCTGTGTCTGTAATCCTAAACAGAGAGCAAGGAGGTGTACAAGAGGCAAGTGCTGTCAATCACATGCATCGCCATGGGAATCAGCTTTCTGGGAACACTCTGTATGGCTCTCTACTGCCGGAACAAGTGAGTATATCTCAGAATTTGCAAGCGTCTGTTATGCTCCTGAAACCGTAACAGCTGAAAGGAGAGGACATTCTCACAATCTCTGGCAAGGAATAGACTAGAAACATAACAATTTGAAGGCAGGACAGGGTTCTCTTGGAAAGTAGCTGCTGCATTGGCTTCTGTCTTCAAAAACAGCTTTGAATTAAACAAGCGTAGCTCATCCCGAATAACAATGTCATTCTTTGTTCTTGTTCAAGATAGCAGCCCTTTTGTCCACTTGGAAAGTTGTAACGGCTTCTTCAATAATGTCTTCTACTCTGATTCAGTCACCTGTTACAGAGGTTTTAAATGGAAGGGAGCACAAAAATGGCCAGATATCTGTAGTTAGCTTCATGCTAATAGCATTCACATCTCGACTATCATTGTTTACTTCTGATTACATAGTTCAGTCTGCCAGATTTGATCACTAGTCTTAACATCATTGCTAAATTTTGGAAAATGTATCTCCAATATATATATATTTTTTTCAGTTCACAAAAACAAACATGACAAGCTGAAAGACTTTGCCAGTTAGCATAATGGAACTGCTGAAAAATGTACCTTGCTGGAAAAACCAGCATAGACCAACAAATGGTCAACAGCAAAACCAGCAACAGTTGTGTTTTGGATGCTGGTATGCTGGTCAGCAGCAATGGAAGTTGCTATACTGATCACCACAGAAACCAGCAAATGTTGTTTTGGATGCTGGTATGCTGGTCAACTAGCAAGACTATGCTGGGTGACCAGCTAAACCAGTACCACACCAGCACTAGACCACATTAGACCTGCTTAGACCAGCATGAAATTCATGCTGGAATACATGTGCTTTGATTATTTGCCTTTTTCAACTTGTCAACAGAGATGAAACTTGCCAGTTAGCACCATGCTGAAAGATGCTTCATTGAAACAGCTGAAACAACTTCTTCTATAGTGTTGTCTAGTCTAATTCAGTTAGCTTTTACAACGACTTTGGGTTGAATTGAACACAAAGTGTGTGCTAACAATATGGCCATGTGTAGCTAGCCTCATGCTAATAGCATTCACAATGTGAGGACAGTTGGCCACTTGATCACTTAGTTCAGGAAGCCTCATATGGTCACTCTACCCTGTTCACAGAGACTGAAAGATGTGTACTTTGACCTTTTTAAGAAACATTTTACCTTAACATTTAAATTGTGTTTACACATGTGGCAAGTTAAAGGATGGAACCTGCCAGTTAGCATCAGGTGGTGCTGAAATATGGGGCTGTTGAGCATGTTCTAGTTCAAAATATGGCCAGAAATGTGTTTAGCCTTATACTAATAGCATCCACAATGTCAATAGTGTTGTATACTTCTGATCACTTCGTTCAGCATGACAGACTTGATCACTAGTCAAAACCCCATTACTAGTGTCTGGACAAGATGTGCTCTAATTAATTGAGACATTTTACCTCAAATATGGAAATTCTGTTCAAAAAAATATATGTGACAAGTCAAAACAACTTCTATAATGTTCTCTACACTGATTCAGTTACCTTTCACAGTCAACTTAGGTTGCACTGGATATACAAATGTGTGCTAGTTCAAAATATAGCCAAATATGTGTACTTAGCACCATGCTAATAGCACTCTCAATGTAAAATAATACATTATTTATTATAACTCATTGCTTAGTTCAGCATGCTAAAGTTGATCAGTAGTCTTAACTTTATTGCCAGCATCTACAAAAATGTTTTACCTCGAATATGGACATTCTGCTCACAAAAAAAACGCATGGCAAGTTGAAGGATGGAACTAATTAGCCTCATGGGGTGCTGAAAGATGAGACTTTGAAACATTTGTTTCAAAAAAGATGTCACACAGCCAGTGTGAATTGCAGCCCTCTTCATTATCTGTGTGCCATGCCGCTAACTTCAAAGCAGGCCCACAGACTGTTCGGACTATGGAGCTGGCTGCAGTGGCCAAATATTATGGCTTATTAGCCTGGCTATTTGATCTCAGCATGGACTGAGGGTCTTTTAAATGCTGATCAAATCTTTTTAATTTTCTACCTGAAAGCACATAGCCTGGCCCGAGATAGCCGCCGTCTGCCCCTGCCGCTGGACAAACATGGCAGGAATAATAGATGCCTGTCACTCAAGCCTTATGGAGTAGAACAGTGAGAAGAATAGGTGTGCAATTTCAATAAAACAACTTATATAACGACGTGACTGAGTGAGTGACCTGCCGACTGCAGGATTCAAGCCTTGACGTACTGCCATTTGAAATGACCTATAATGAATTTATTACCCAGGAAAATAACTCTGAGTGCCCTTATTTTGGAGCATGGCTTTATAGGTGATGTATGCGTGTGTATGTGCGTGCACTCTGAGTCCATTTGTGAGTGGTAAATGTCCTCATGAATTACCGGATCAAATTGTGATGGTTCTGCCCCCTACAGGAGACGAAGGGAAAAGCTCCAGGCCCACCTGAAAGAAAGCCGCAGCCTGAAGAACTACAGCCTCAGCTCCACTGGCCTGCCGTGCAAATCCAGCCTCAGGCCTCATTCCGGCCTGCAGCTGCAAAACGTAAGTACTTGGATGGTCCACTCGGCCACACCTTAGGCTTGTAACTGTGCATTCACTCATGTTTAGCAAGCTAAAGATTTTCCACAAGGAGTTATTAGCAGTTATAATTACCATTTTTGTGCACATCACTGAAAGGAAAGAAACCAGCATGAACCCATACCAGCAGGATCTTACAAATGCATGTGTATTTGAAGACTAATGAAGATTTTGAAGACATAAATAAAACACCAACTAACATTTCAAACTCAACCAAATGAGTACCCATCGATTCTGTGCTCGTATTATATTTGTTATTTTTTCTTAGAATTTATAATGTTTTAAATTGTGTTTTTGCAGAATAATTAAAGGAATAACACTTTTCAACCTGCATTTGAATAATTCAGCATCAGAGGTTTATTTTTTTAGCTTCGGAAAACAAGCAGATATATAGAATCCTCAACAACTTAACAGCATATCGAAATGTTCACTATGTCGTGTGTCTACCTTTTGCCTTTAATGTTCAGAAGGCTTGCTTTCCATTTTACAAAGAAATCTGCAGGGATATTTTTCCACACTTCCAAAGTTCAGTCTTAGAACTTGGCTACATTTTCTGCTCCACATAATCCAAGTAACCCCAAACACACTCAATGATGTTTAGATGTTTTTTTTAGATGTGAATCTAGAGGAGAGCTTTATTTTCTCCTCTCTCTCAAAGATGAAAGCGTTGAGTACTGGTGATCGGATGCGATGAGACAGTTTTCGTGGTCTACCAGGTCTTGCACGGTTGTTAGGAGTCTCCATAGTTTTTGATAGTTTTTGAACAGTTTTGGAAACTTTATGCTCGAGGACTATTGCATATCTACTAAAATCTCCTGGAAAAATGAATAACTTGTACTTAACGGCTGTTTTGACTGGAAATTAGGTGATTGCCTTTATGGTGTCTGGCTTTTGTGGAGTAAAACACTCATGAATTCTTCAGTCAAAGATATTTTTGAATTAATTATGCAGTGAGGCTGTGTAATTTGCTCTTTCAGCGAAGGGGACGAGTAATTTTTGGTTACGTTACCAGCACAGTGGTCCCTGTCTGATTGTGTATAAATACCAGAAAACCATAGGCAAATGCAACAGTGACTGGAACTACTATCCAATGTTGGAAATCTAGGTAAAACCTCATAAGAACTGCCTCATTTCCGCCTCATGATAGATAGAGATTAGGCTGAAAAACACTGGCGCATTCCTTTAAACACTTCCACTTACTGCTTACCTGGTTTCAAATTACTGCATTGTCATCCCAGTTGTGCCCCTGCCCAGCGGCCCATAGCCTCCGAGAGCAGCTCCGGGACAGGAGCCTGTTCGCTCACTCGCTCACCTCCCCTGGGAGGGCTTTGTTCCCATTTATCACCTGCCCAATAGCTTCTGTCGACAGATCCATCTCACGTAAGCCAATCTGGCTTATTTGCATGGCAAACACAGCTGTAATTTGAATGTCAGTCAAACTCAGTGACTCAGGGATGCTTAATCTCACAAGCAATCACACACTCTGTCAGGAGACTTGCAAATGCCAAGCCAACCAATCAAAAACGGTCTGGTGACAAGGATGCTCACATTTTTCCCCATAGAAATAACATGAAGACTGTGCTTCCAGGACATATATTGTTTTTTTATTTTTTGCTATGGAATTTTTTTTTCTTTTTCTTGTAACATAATAATAATAATCAAAAACAAGACAAGTGGTTTCTTGAAGTGTTGCTCTGGCCAAAATGAAAAATATAACCATTGCTATATTGCACATCTGTCGTAAACATGTTTATATATCACAGTAGTGCTGCAGTAGTTTGTACAGCTCCTACAACTGCTTTGGGGTTGAGTTTTGGAGACGTGCTGTGAAGCTAATGCTACTGCTAGAAAGCCAAATATCTTATTTCAGTAAATAACTGTAGTAACTGTATTAAAATCATCATTACAATGGAAAAAACAACAGAAATGACTTATCAAAGGAGGAGGATGACAAGCTAACAGCTAATTAGTAAGATTGCTGGCTATCTAGATGATCTTATATCAGTATATACCTTTTATTCTCTGGCTGAAAGGATAAAAAAGCTTGTCTTTGGCATCCATATTGTGCTGAATACAGGTAGAACTGGTGTGTTCTTTATGATGTTGTCCAAAAACAAATTACACTAATGGTAGTTTGGTTTTATTTGTTAGCCCATAGAAGACTATAGGCTTGCAGTCTCACTTTGATGACACCACAGGGATTCCCAGTGGTTTTATGATGACTTCACATGCTTCTACTGTTCCATTTAAAGAATCATTTATCTGTAATACACTTATATATATACTCATTGGCCGCTTTATTGGAAGCCTCTATCTTTAAACTCCACCTTGCTGGTATACAGAGACTGTAGCCCATCTACTGAGGTACAGTTGACCATCCTCAAGCCCTTTATCAATAATCAGTTTCTGACCTCAGTATTCTATACAAGAATGACACCCTGAAATGAAATTAATTCTAAATGCTCAGTAGGGAATCCTACAGCAGGGACTTCTGTATAATGAAATCACTAACATGTAAACAAAGTCATTCAGAGTGGTTTAATGTGAAATGCGGTGTTCAAGGGAAACTTACAGAATTGTTGAGTCAGAATTGTTCATAGCGGTGGTGACAGAAACCAGACATCTGGAGAGTTTGATGCCTCTAAAAGCTCCCTCACAGGAAGTTAGTACATGTAATGGTTATAAATACACTGCTTGATGTCTGAGACATTTTTTTTATGATAATTATGAGAGACATAAACACATCATTTTAAAACATATCCATGTTTTGGAGAGGCACATTCTGGCGTTCTAAGGCAAAATTATCCCCAAAGAAAACGTAATTTTCAGATTTACCATTATTTTACCATCATCAGCATTAAATATAAAAACACATGTAGGTACAGTGGTGGTTTTAGATAGTGAATAAAATGGCTACATCTGTAGACATCACATCCTGTGGTTGCTATCAGCAACAAATGAATTATGAGAAAAAAAGTAAGTGAAAATTCTTTAATTACATTTTGCATATGTCCAAAAGAAATAAATCAGAATAAATAAATTTGCTTTGTTTATGTAAACTCTTACATGTGGGTGAATATTTGGTAACACTGCATGTGAAGCCAACCCTGCATAAGAACTTAAAAATTTGCACATAAGCAGTGAATATTGTATTTATAAAACAATACTTGATTGTTTATGATCAACTTATGCCAGTAATTACAAGATGGCATTAGAATTATCATAAAGTATATGACATTGTTTACATATAAGTGGCTTTAAACTAAACTGATGGAGTGTTATAAAGCATAATTTAGTGGTTCAACAGAAACCCTGTTAAAGGAAATTTGAAATATTGTAATTGTAGATCAGTACAACAGGCAAATGCAGAGATAGACAGACAGACAGACAGACAGACAGACAGGACAGACAGATAGATAGATAGATAGATAGATAGATAGACATACAGATAGATAGATAGATAGATAGATAGATAGATAGACATACAGACAGACAGATAGATAGATAGATAGACATACAGACAGATAGATAGATAGATAGATAGATAGATAGATAGATAGATAGATAGACAGACAGACAGATAGATAGATAGATAGATAGATAGATAGACATACAGACAGACAGATAGATAGATAGATAGATAGATAGACAGACATACAGACAGACAGACAGACAGACAGACAGACAGACAGACAGACAGATAGATAGACATAGATAGATAGATAGATAGATAGATAGATAGATAGATAGATAGATAGACATACAGACAGACAGACAGACAGACAGACAGATAGATAGATAGACAGATAGACAGACCTATATAGTGGACCTATCATGTAGATGGAGCTCAGAAAGTGGACAGTGAGAGTATAATATACTTGCTCCCATTGCATGTGGGCATATGGCTGGTTTAATAGTGCAAATAAGGACATCTTGTCCATGTGGCTACTCTTGCCCAAGGGTCAGAGCAGTTCAGCACCTTTCCTTGACACAAATGATACGCTTCTGGCTGTAAACCAATTACTGTCCAGCCTGCCTGTAGTGTCCCTGGCTCTGTCCATTAAGACAGCTCACCTCCGTTCTTTCCTAGAACTTGCAGGGTACTCGCCAAATGGAAAATGCCTTCTTGAGGACACATCACGCAAATCATAAAAGCCTGACCCAAGGTGTCCGGCTAACATATTAGTGGGCCGGCTGTACCTTCCGCTAGATTAAAACATCCATTACCTCAACACTCTCTCGCCCTTCTGAAGCATAACTGCCCCTTAGAGACAACACTGCTGCGTTTATTACACCTGATGTAACCTCTGCTTTGTTGGAGTGAATATCTGCATTGATCTGTGTAAAAGATAAGGTCAAGAGTTTTGACCAATGTCGTGATTTTTTCCTTAGAGTTATTTGTTTTGAGAGTTCTGCGACATTATTTACATGTTAAATGCATTCAATCTACTATATCAAATGACATATTCATTAATTTACATGAATTTCAGAATTTTACAGTATTTGATTTGGTTTTGCTTTAATGACAGTGAACACTCCAGCTGGCATGGACTCACATTTGACTCACATTTGTGCAAAAGCCTCTGATGAGTAGGTTAAATCCAGACTGTTGTCTGAACACAAGCTTTAGTGGGAGAGATAAGACTCAAACAACCTTCTTGTACAGTCTTTTTCTAAGACTTGTTTGTACAAAGGGCTAAACATGGCCAGTGTGTTGCGTCTTGCTTAAATTTGACTAGATATATTTTGATGGTCAAGTTTCAAACATCTTTACTTAAACTATACTACATAACACGGACATAACTATTCATAAACGTGTCATAGCAGATGTCATAGCTGTCATATTTTTACCAGATTTATTTATTACGAGAAATGGTAAAAAAAAGCAAAAAAAAACACAGAAGCTGAAGTGATTTGTTTTGTTTTTTGGGAGTTTTGTTTTATGAGAGAACGATTGATGTAGA